TCTTTCCATATTACCGGGACACAGCGAGCTATAATGGAAAGAGCCCCAGATTTGGAATGAGAAGATCTGAGTTCAAGGTTCAGCTCAGTTACTTTATAGCTGTGTGAGCAGAGGAGAGTTTGAGCCTCACTTTCTTTACCTGTAAAATGGAGGTCTTCATTTTTGCATTGTTTGCCTTATAGAGTTGTTCTAAGGAATGCACTCCATAAACTATGGGATCACAGGATTATAGGTTTATAGCTATAAAAAGTTATGTTATTGCTATGACCATATTGGGGAGGTGGCATGTAAGTGTTGAAAGAGGACCAGGCTTGGAGCCAGGAGAGAGCTAGGCTCAAATCTGGCTTCAGATACTTACTGGCTGTGTGACCCTGGGCAAGTCACTTGACCTCTGACCCTCAGTTTTCCTTATCTTTAGCTTGGGAATAATAATGGTACTTACCTCCTAAGGTGGTGGTAAGGACCAAAAGGGAAGATGTGGGTAAAGTGACTTGCAAAACTTAATAAATGTCAGTTTTCACTGTTATTGTTGTTATAATAATGTTTATTCTCAATTAGTCCCACTCACATCGGCTGTCCAGCTTCCTGTCCTGGAAGTAGTTTTGTGTTTCTGGCTACAGAGACCACAGAAGCTTCCCGTGGAGAGAAGACAAGGAGCTTAGAGGGAAGCATGACTTGGAGGAAAGGAATGCCCATGAAGTAAGACAAAAGATACAGAGACATTTCCTTCTGGAGAAACAATCCAATGTCACTGTTCCCTGTACATAATTCCCACCTCCACACCTTTGTTCATGAGCTTTCCCCTGCCTAGAACACCCTTTCTCTTCCTCTCCATCTCCAACCCTACCCTTGGATGGAGGATCAGTTTAAATCTCAGTTCCCTTGATGTCCCAGCCGGTCCTGATCTCTCCCTTCCCTGACCTCATTTCCCAACACTTGGAGTCAGTGTTGGCGCTGCTCACTTAGAGAATGTTAGAGTTACAAGGGTCCTGGAAGGCCATTTATTTTTTATTTTGTTTTGCTTTTTGGTGAGGCAATCCGGGTTAAGTGACTTGCCCAGGGTCACATAGCTAGTAAGTGTCAAGTGTCTGAGGTTGGATTTGAACTCAGGTCCTCCTGACTTCAAGGCCAGAGCTCTATCCACTGGGCCACCTAGCTGCCCCACCTGGAAGGCCATTTAGGAGTGCCCTGCTTGGTGAAATGGGAAAAGCCACTGACTTGAGTCAGGAGACTTATATCTGAAACTTGACTCTTCCAAGGAGTAATCTGAGTGACCTTGGATGAGTCACTCATCTTTCCTGAGCCTCAGTTTCCCTCTCTGTCAAATGAGACATGGATGACACAATCTCTGAAATCTCTTCTAGCTCCTAGTCCTAGGATTCTCTCATTTGACAGAGTTGGAAACCGAGGCTTGGAGACAGAATATGACCTGCCCAAGATCATACGACATGTTTGTGGCAGAGCAGTCTAGAGTAACTTCCTGGGTATTATTTTTTGTATGAGTATATATGTCATTTTCCCAACTACTATAGACTGGAAGCTCCCCAAGGGCAGGGACAACATCTCATATGTTTGTGTAGTGTCTCCTAGACTACCTAGCATAGGGCTAAGCACATAGGAGGTGATCAGTAAATAAGTGTTGATGAACCAGAGAAAAGGAAATTGGGAGTTTGGGCAGAGAACAAATACTAGTCTCTAAGCATCTGAAATAATAATTACTGTTATCTATATATCTACAGTATATACACGTATGTGTGTATACATATGTATATGTGTGTATATACATATATAAGTATATGTCTGTGTGTATATGTCTGTGTGTATGTGTGTGTGTGTGTGTGTGTGTGTGTGTGTGTGTGTGTGTGTGTGTGTGTGTATAATCTTACAACCACACTTGAGGAAGGTGTTACTATTACCCCCATTTTACAGATGAAGAAACCAGACAGGAGAGAAATAAGTGCCTTGTTTGAGATCATGTAGCAAGTTAAGTGTCTAAGGCAGGATTTGAATCAGGGCTTGCTGACTCTATCCACCAACACCAAACTGCCCATTTGTCATCCTAGAGACGGGAGGGGTGGGCTAAGGGTAGGACAGCCTGTTCTCTGTTATTCTGGAGGGCGGGAGAAGTGGGCTTGAGCTGCAGCATGAGAGATCAGAGTTGGACATGGGGAAGGACTTCTAGGGAAGGACCCAGCATGGGCTGATGGAGAGGACAAATAGGCCACCGTTCCTGGGAAACTCTGTGCCCAGGGAAGTTCCCCTGGTGCCTTAGGGTCTGTGCCTGGCAGGGGGAGGAAGGGCATGAGGTCTGCAGCCATTTGGCAGAAGGGCAGGATGGACTGTGGAGGGAGGGTGAGGCTGTCCTCTCCTGTACCTATTTACCCCTGTTCCATTGCAAGCTCCCTAAAGGAGGGCTTGGGGTTGCCTGGCCAAACCTAAGGGAGGGGGAGAGAGGAGAGAGGTTAATGTGCATCCCTTTCCCCTCTCCTCAGGAATCATCTGTTCATAGCTGGGAGGCTGGGAGTGTGTGTGTGGGGGGGGAGTGCCTGAGCTCGTGTTCTGTCCTGGGGTTCATTCAGTCCCTGAACTAAGCTGTGGAGCTGCAGATCTACCCAGGAAGTTTCTGCACTAGCAGCCCTGCCAGGTCAACTCCAATCTACAGGAAACAGCTGCTACTCCTAGCCCCCTCCACCCCCATTCCTTCCCTCCTCACTCTCCTCAAATCCCCCACCCACCTCAGCCCACCTTTCCCTCTCCCTCCTGTTCCTAGTCCATTGCTTCTACTCAGTCTTTCATTCCTGTGCCCCAGAGCCACAACCCCAGAGACCTCACCCTACACTCTTGGCAACTGGGACAGGGGCAGAAAGCAGAGAAACCCAGAAAAGGAGCCAGCAGTAAGCCAAGAGGATGCCCAGCCTTTCTGTTCTTCCTGGAACTCATCTGGGCTCCAGCTGGGCACCTCTTCTTCCTGCCTCTTAAGTGCTTTCCTGCAAACATGGATCTCTCTGTTGATGTGGTGAAGCTGGATTCAGCTGGCCTCTTCTCCCTCAGGATCCCCAAGTCCATATGACCCGCCCTAATCTCCTCTCAGGTCTCCCACTCCTCCCCATCTGGTGTGCCTACCCAAGGCTGGCTAGTCTGATGTCTCCTCTCCTTGCTGGGATCTCTGGTTCCTTCCCATCCTCACCCCACTCCAGAGCTTTCCTCACTGAAGCAACAGGAAGGTTCCCTCCTCTGCCCCCCCCGAGAGGCTGGCCCCCAGATCCACTCTGTGGGCATCCGATGGCATTCCTGCCATTTCTAGCTCACACTTTCTGGACACCAGATGTATCCTCTGCTCCCTTGCATAGGACTGAGGCGAAAGCATCATGATACTCTGCATGTCTCCCTCCCTCCCTGATTGCCCATTACGGCCAATGATTCCTCCCCTTCCCTGCCAGACAAGCTTCTGCACCCAATCAAGCTGATCTGACGGATCGTGATACCTTTCATCATCTGAATTTACTCAGGCACAGATTTACATCTGTCTGGGAGTCCACACATGTGTCCACCCCCATGACATGCACATACGCAGGGACATCTACCCAAGAACGTAGACACGCGCACGGGCGCATAAATACACCAGCTGCTCATTGATGCACATCTACCCAGTGGCGCATGTTTTGTCCTGTCTACACAATCACACACATACATGCCCTTGCTCAGTGACAGGTATGGAGTCACACATACAGCCCTCTCCCACTCCTATCCTGGTGACACACACCTTCCCAGGTGCCCATCGGTCAGTCTGTCTGCCCAGTGGCATCCATTTGGCCGCACGCGGCTCATGAGCCTGCCCCCGAATACCTGCCTTTGTGACCACAGATGCTCAGTGCTGTTGTCCTTCCCAGCCCACCTTTGGGGGGCACTTTACCATCTGTGCCCCTCACCCCACCTTCAGGGGGGAAGCCAAGACCAGGTAACTGAAAGGATTTGCCTAAGGTCATATAGCATGGTAGGGTGGGACTACAGTCCAGGTCCCCCAACCCCACCCACCTAGTAGAACTGCCTGTTAGCTGCAGACGGGCATGCACACACATGTACTCCCTTTGCAGGTGTCCAAACTGCCTAAGCCTTGTAGCCTGCTGAGGGGACACACCCAGAGCTAGGACCCTTTGCTCAGACATGCAGACAATGCCCACTAAACTTGGAGCAAACTCTTTACCAGTCCCAAACAGAAACTGAGATGAAAGATCACAGCCCAAGCTTTCCCCTATTCTGAGCCAAAGCCTTTGGGGTTGCTCAGACTAAGTCCACTGTACTTTGAAGCCCTGATCTGCAACTTTCCAGGACCTTCCCTCCCAGGCTGGGGTTCAGCTAAGCATGGTCCCTAGGAGGAGAAGGAGGCAGTCTTCAAACAGGATGCTGGACACCTGTCCTGAGGTGCGCTTCCAGCATTTCTCCCCTTTCTGGGAACCCAAGGTGAAGGGCTTCTGCATGACTGGGCAGCTCTTCCCTTACTCTAGTGGTACCCCATCCTCTGCCGTCCGAGAACTCCCCACCAGGGACCGGTCAAGGAAAGCATATCAACAAGATACCTGTACCTTGAGAGGATCCCCAGAGTTCAGAGGACCCCAGAACTTAATGATATCAGGGATGCCCCATTACCTTCCCCCCCTCTCTCTCCCTCCCTCCCTCTCCCTCCCTCTCTCTCTCTCTCTCTCTCTCTCTCTCTCTCTCTCTCTCTCTCTCTCACACACACACACACACACACACACACACACACACACACATGCACACACACCCCTCCTGCCCTTCCAGTCCCTAGAAATAGGGAAATATAGATGGACTCAGCCTGATTCTCTGAAAGGTGACCAAGGACTGTGAAGAGAGGGGAGGGATAGAGTAGGGAAGGAATGGGGATGGTGGGTAGAGACGGGGACGGGACAGGGAGGATGCGGATGGTAATGGTGGAGACCAGGACAGGATTGGGGAGCTGATCCCATCGGGGGTATCCTTACCTCCTTGCCTAGTGGGCTGAAGGATGGAGAGGAGGAGGAGGAGGAAGACTCCTGGCCGGAGGGGGAGAGCTGTCCGACTCGCCATCTCTGGGAGAAAAGCCTCAGCCCTCTCTCGGGCTGTGTGTTTTATCCTCAATGCTTAATTGCTGTCTACAAGGGATGTGAGGGAAAGAGGGAGGGGGAAGAACAAGGGAGGGAGGGGGGCTGTGTGATGGGGGGTGAGGGGGGTGGGGGGGAATCTCAGGACACGACGTAATTACGAAAGGGCAATACACAAACCTCCCCAGACTGGACTATTTGGGGCTTTTTTTTCTTTCTTTGCTTCCCCCCCTCTTTCTCTATTGCTGTTCTCTCCAGCCCTGTCCAGGGCCCTGCCAGAAAGCAGCAGGAGGGGGGGGGGATGCTGCCAAAACAGCCTTCAGCAAGAGGAAAGGGGAGGGCTCTAGTCCTTGCCAAAAATCCCTGGCTCTAGCCAAGCCCCGTGATGGCCAGGCCCCAGCGCCCGCCCCACCCTGCCCTGCCCCGCCCCAACTGGGCCCCAAGCCTAGAGCCCGGGGACAAGGGCCAGCTGCCCCGAAGCCCCCCCCCAACACCCCCACTCCAGCCACCTCAGGCCTGGGAGGAGCTCCCACCCCCATTCCTAGCCCCCTTTCAGCCCCCTCCCCACTCCAGCCCATCCCATCCCCCTCTTTAATCTTCTTGTCTCCTTGTTCTGGCTGGGGAGGGGGATTGGAGGGGGGACCCAAGAAAAGCAGAGATGCTGTGGGGGGACTTTGGAGGAAAGGGAACCTCAGAGTCCCATTTTCTTTGACATCTAGTGCCATGAGACAGTGGAAGGGACAGCGTCTTTGGACTTAGAGACCATGGGTTTGAATCCTGGCATTGCTAACTTAATACCTGTGTGTCCTTGGGAAGATAGCTCCTTTCCCTGGGCCTGTTTCCTCATCCTTAAAATGAAGGAATGGGATGAGATGACCTCTGTGGTCCTTTCCATTGCTAAATCCTATGGTGGGGCGACAAACAAGAGGGCAGGGATATGGAGTTTGGGGAGAAAAAGATATCCTGGCATCTACAGAAAAGTGATGCCCTTGGAGCTTGTCCTAATGGCAATGCTTGAAGGAATCTAAGCCCAGACACCAGCAGTCCTAAGGAAGAGAGGATCTGAGATCTCAAGCTGGAAGGGCCATCTAGGTCAACCCCTCATTTTTTACAGATTTGGAAACCGAGGCACACAGAGGGTAAGTGACTTGCCCAAGTTCACACAGATGCCAAGTCTCAGAGGTAGGATTCGAACCCGACATCTCATTCTAGGATCAGTGCACATTCCCTCCCTGCTTAGTGCCTCCCTATAGCATCAGTGATTGACCTCACAGACTATCCCGAGGGGACTCTCCTCCCTCTCCCTGGGGCTGAAGACCTTGCAAGAGTCTCCAGACAGCCGGTGTGAGGGGGTGAGCCCTAGAGCCAAAGCCAGAGTCCTTTAGCTACCACTTGTAGACTGGGAGTCAGAGCACTCGGGTTCAGATCTCCCCTCGGATGCTTGCCAGCTGTGTGGCCTTTGGCAAATGGCTCTCTGTGCCTCAGTTTCTTCATCTGGAAAACGGGGTACACCAGATGGCCTCCAAAGTTCCTTCAGCTCTAATCCTATGATCCCATCCTCATAGTTGGGGAAGGAAGTAAAACCACATCCCTAGGAACAGGCCCGGCCCTCGTGCCTCAGATGCTCAGGCCCACCTGGTCTGCAGCTGAGTGTCCCCCAGCCCACATCTCGGCATTCCTGCCTCACCTCTCCTTTGCAGTGCACCGCAGCTCTGCTCGCCTCCAAGCCAAGCTGTCATTTCGTCCTGGGCCAGGAGGGGGCGCCCCTGTGGTGCAGAAAAGAATCCTGCAATACACAGGTTCTGAGTGGAAACCAGGCTTTTTCCTTCCCAGCACCCCTGCCCCAAGTCCCCAGCAGAACCCTACATGTTTGTTCATTAAGAAACTGGTCTCTGGGTTATCCCTGAGCAGCTGAGCTGAGGGGAGCAGGGTTCAAGCCCCACCTTTGATACTTCCTACCTGTGTGACCTTGGACAAGTCACTTAACCCCTTGGGGCCTCAGTTCCGGCATCTGGAAGAAGCAATGAGGTTGGCCCTCCTCTGGCTGTGATTCCGTGATCTCCCCCATTAGACTGGAAGTTCCCCGAGGGCATCTACCTGTATTCTCTAACTGTCTGCTTAGCCCCGGGTCAGGCAGGCCTGGAGCAGACAATCCCAGGAAGGCAAGACTGGAAGAGCCTTGGGGATCATCAGATGGGGGCTTCTTAGCCTGGGAGCCAGGGCCTTCTTTGTTTCATTAAAAAATACCGTCATGCCTCTTTCACTAGTCTCCTCCGCATTGACAAAGATGGTTCTGGGAAGGGGTCCCAGGCTGCGCCCAGAGGGGTCCATGACACATAAGAGCGAAGAAGCCCTACTCCCCGTCTGTGACTTAGAATCTCCTCCTGAAAAACTCATCAGAGGAAAAGTCATCCTTCCCTTCTCCTCTCTCCCCAGCGCACTGGATTTTAATTCTTAGGGGGAATCAGATGGAGGGGCCTTGTCCTGTGACACTTTTCCCAAGGGGAGAGGATGGTGAGGATCTGAGTCTCTGAACACTCTATTTGGGGACTGGCTTCCTGGGTTCACCCCTAACCCCAGGGCAGTATTTCTGCTTTGCCCCCCAAGTTTTTGAGTGTGAACCCTTTAAAGCCAGCTCTTGTTCACAGACTAAGCTTGAGGCATGGTCCAATGGAGGCAGGCCGAGGGGTACAGTATTATGGAAAGGGTGCTGGGTTTAGAATTACAAGCCCTGGGTTCAAATCCTGGTTGGCTGCTTGCTACTTGAGTGACCTGGAAGGAGTTGCTTTCTTAGGCTTCAGCTGCAAAATGAGGGGGCTGGACGGCATGACCTTGAGGTCTTTTCTGGATAGGGACAACCTGGAATAGTCTTCTTGAGCATCCATTGGTATCCACACCCCATTCCTTCCATGACCAACTCAAGTCCCGCAACCTCCAGGAGTCAATTATGGAGCATTTCTTAAGATCCTACTATGTGCCAGGACGTGAAAGAAAAGCAGACAGTCCCTGCCTTCAAGAAGCTTACATTCCAACAGGAAACCTTTGCTGGGCATTGCAGACCATGGGGAATGCTTTCTCACGCATACCCAGCCCCCTATTTATCACTGTCTGTCTTGGATTGCTTTTTTAATACACCTCTGACTTGTCCTCATGGTGAGGCTTCAAGCATCCCAAGGAGAAGGACCAGACTTTTGCCTCCTTGGCCCCTTAGCCTATCCCAGGTGCTCAGTAAAGACTCTTCGAGTGACCTTAGCCCAGTCATGTCATGAGTCATGAGGCTCTCCGTCTCAGTTTCCCCACCTGTCAAATGGAGGTGATAATCCTTGCTTTCTTGAAGTTCGCAGGGTTGTTTGGAGGAAAGTGATTTTGTAAACATTGGTTCTCCAGAGACGGATGGGAACTGTGATTATCCTTCATTGATTGGTTGTGAGGAAAGGCAGAGAGAGAGATCTATAGGGATTTAGAACTGGAAGAATCATTAAGTCCAGCCATCTTTTAAAAAAATATATATATATATACTTATAAAACAATATATAAAATATAATAAATATTGTACATAAATTATACATACACACACACACACACACACACACACACACACAGAGAAAATGCAGGGCAGAGGAGTGACTTTCCTAAAATCGTGCAGAGTGCTGCCGACCCAGCTGGGAGAGGAAGAAAGATCCCCCCCCCCCACCGCCCCCAGCTCTTCACTTAGTACTCCTTACACTAGCTCTCAACTAGCTTGATTGAGTGACACTGTCTGGGAGTGAAAGGGGACCTGGGGGGATGCTGGGCATCAGGTAACCATGCAGGGGATACAGGAAAAGGCACAGGGAGGGGCTGAACCCAGGATAAGTGGCTAGACCACGACAGGGACCATGGTGACCGCTATCCTGCAGCCAGGATAGGTGTGGTTGGACACTGAGGAAGGGAAACTAGAAGGTGGGAATCCGGGGGGGGGGTAAGAGGATGAATTTTCATTATGACTCATGTAAAAAGAGCTTAAAATTTTCTTCTGCACAGGAACAGGAGGCAATGTGGTATAAATGTAGGAAAAACAGGACAGTGGGAGGCAGAAGGTCCATGTTCTAACTGGGACTCTGCCTCTAACTGGCTATGTGTTCTTGGACAAATGTCTCGGCTTCTCTGAGACTCAGGGTCCCCCTCTGCAAAGCCTATGGGAGAGGGTGAGATTGGTGCTGAGTGCGAGGAAGGATGGGGCTTTGTGCTGGGGAGCGGGGCTCACGGTCAGGAATGGAGCAGGGATGCTAGTGTCTGAGACACAGGGGTGGGTGTTTAGTGCTTCCGCGGGGACAACGCCAAAGAGAAGGGCACGGTTCTGGGGATGGAGGCTCAGCCGGCGATGGGATAGGAGCGCTCAGTGCTTGAGACAGAAATAGCAATTGGGATGGTGCCTCAATATTGGGGAAGTAGGCTCAAGGAGAGGGTCTCAGTGCTAGGGATAGGCACTCGGAGTGCGGAGCTGATACAGGGTCAAACATGGGGGTTCGAGGCTAGGAATGGGAATTCAGGATCAGGGCTGGAAATGGAGGTTTAGGGTTAGGGCTGAGGGCCAAGGTCTGGAAATGGGGGTTCAGGGGCTCAGTGCTGAAGATGGGTACTCAGTGTTGGGAACAGGGCTCAGTATTGGGGTAGAGGCTCAGTTTCAAGGACTGGCACTTCGTGCTAGGGATTCAGGACGGGGAGAGGGGCTCAGTGCTGAGGATGGAGCCCCAGTCCAGGGATGGGCAGTGTGAGAGAGGGAGCTCCAGGTCAGAGATGGGGGATTGAGGCTGAAGTGGGGGCTCAACGTTAAGGATGGAGCCCCAGGCCGGGGATAGGGGATCGAGGCTGAAGTGGGGGCTCAGTGTGAGAAAGGGAGGTCCAGGTCAGAGATGGGGGCATAGGGCTGAGGATGGGGGGCATACCGCAGAGGGTAGAAGATTTGCAAATTCCTCTGCCCTTTCATTCTCTGTCTCTGCAAACATGTTTCCCCCTGGCCCCTATCCTGGGATAAAGGTTAGGGGATTGTTGAGAAGGGAAAACAGGAAGAGGGTAAAATGAGTTAGCGCTGGAGAAGGGAGAGGGCCCTGGCTTTGTTGGCCGCC